GATGTTACACTCATCAAGAGCTTTCATTTGAATACCCACATCAATTTTTCATATATATTTTATATATTTATTATATATATTATATATATGAATATATGAAAAATATATGAAAAATTGATGTGGGTACTCAAATGAAAGCTCTTGATGAGTGTAACATCAAAATGAGCTTATATCTTCAAAAACTTCAATATTTATGAAAGTACCTTGTAATTTAACAAAAGTCATTATTTAAGAAAGCAAAATTTTATTTATTTATAGTTCACATAGTGACTTCAAGGTTGCTAGTTTTTTTTTTTTTCAAAAGTTTTATTTTTCTTTTTTAGTGCACTTAGGGGTAAAATGGTCAGTTAAATAATTAAATTTTATAATTACTTAAAGAAGAAATATAATTTTTAACTGTTAAAAAAAAAAAAAAATGTAACACTTGAAAATTCAAGACCATTTTACCCATTTTTTTTTTTTTCTAATGACGTTTAACTTCCGGTTCTATTATATCTACAAATATGTGGATATAATTACTTCCGCTGTTATAAATTAAATTTTTCAACTTTAAACTCATTCATAAAAAAGAAATTTTTTTTCTTCACAAAAAAAAAATACTCACGATGCCTTAAGAGATAGCGTCATGATGATAAATCCATGAGAATTTCTATTTATTCCATATAAGCGGTCCCAATAATTTTAAGAAATAAATCACTAGTATTTTTTCACAATCCACTTACAAATCCGGTTAAAAAATATTATTAAAACAATTATTTAACAACATTAATTGTGTTAAAAAATTTCTTCAGGAAGAAATAAAAAAATTAAATAAAAAAAAGAATTTTTATTTGAAATAGTTAGTGAATATACTATTTTATTGAGAGTACAGCTAGTGTAATGCACAAGTTAAAAATTATAAATATTTAAGTACTCTCAACTGTGGTGTCTCGCGTTAGCACGATGCGGTTTAGTAGCTGCTGGTGAGACTACACACAAATGACTAGTGAATGTACTAGTGGTTCGACGGGTTCTAACTAATTTCCGCCTACACGACTGTATAACGGCTGTATAGTAGTAACTGAGCGAGACAGAAATTATTTTTTACATATTTTTTATTTATATATATATGTATAGTATGGATTGAAGATAAAGAAGATAAATTGAAGATTTATATATGTATTACATATATATTGAAGATAAATGTTAATATTTAATATTTTTTTTTTAATTGTAAAATTATTATTGTTTAAATTATTAATAAAAAATTTATTGATAATTTTTAAAAATATTAACAATAAAAATTCTAAGTATCTTAAAAAAATAAATGAGATTAATTAATTTATTGTTAAAAGTCGAAAAAATTTTATTTAAAAAAAAATTAACAATTTTTTTTAACATAAATTAATTTATTTAAAACTTTTGTTTTATTTTTTTTTTTTAAATAAACTTTTTTTTTTTCAATGCACTTTGGGGTGAAATGGTCAGTTTAAATAATTTAGTAGATAAAAAATTTTATAAATATTTAAAGAAAAAAAATTTGAATTTAATTTATTAAATTAAATAATTGTCTTCAAATAAATTAAATTATTAATATTTAATAAATCCTTCTATCAGTGTACTCAAAAATAATTTTTAATAATTCAATAAATTTTTATTAAAATAAAGACAATTTTTTAAAATTCTGTAAAAAAAAATTTTTTTAAGTATTAATTAAAATTTTT